CTCCTCTCCTTCCCCCGAGCCTTGTCGAACCGGGGCCCTTGAAAGGTTCCCAGCCCAGCCCTTCCTCTGGCCACTGCTCCCACTAGGAGTCGTGACTCTGCCTGGTCTACTGCCGCCTCAGCCCTCCATTTCCTGGCCGTCTTGACCTCTACACCTGGCCCGGACACGTTGGGGTCCCTAGACTCATGGAGCTCAGCACCTCTCTTGCGGGCAAGACCTTGAACTCCTCTTCGATGGATTTTAGCAGGAGCTCCAGCTTGCAGGTGTCTCCTCGGGAATCCCAGCCATCTCCTTATAGCGGCTGACTCTCCTTTCTAGTTCTGAGATGGTAGAAATCGGAAACTCGTAAAGAAGCAGAGGCCGCAGTATCCTTGGCAGAATCCCATGTTGGTACACCCATGCCTTAAATTTTCCAGGGAGCCCAGTTTTGTCGACATTCTTCAGCCATCTCTCCAGCTCCTTGCAGGTGTTTTTGATGGATGTTGTATCCCTGAGGCTGCTGTCGAAGATCTTTCCCAGGCTTTTTTCAGACAGGTATAATTATCATAATATAAACATAAACGACTGGCCATAATACACTGTAAACAATGCTGGGTTGTTTTAACCCAAATTTGGGTCAAATATGGACAAACCCAAATGTTGGGTTAAAGATGTAATTTAAAATGTTAACCCAACTTCAACTTTCACTTTCAACTGTAATTTTTTTAATTACATTTTTAACCCAACATTTGGTTTTGTCCACATTTGACCCAAATTTGGGTTGAAACAACCCAGCATTTTTTAGATTGTAAGATATTAAAAAAAGTATCTTTGTATTTCTGATTACAAAACAATTATCTCACATCCAGTCCCTGCTGCTTTCTACACAGTGCATATATTTGTCATGTGTTTTCTGAGAATCAGACCCAGGATCTTGCTATTGCTAACCTCTTCTGCTTGTGGTCGAGCTACAAAAAGAGTTGAAATCATGCTAAATTGGTAAAACATTGCTTGAAAAAATAACAAAAATAGTTTTGTTTATTTAATATACAAAATGTATTCAAATCTTATGTGTTTCTTACGTACATAATGGCATGTATTTTAGCTATTTATTTGTTTCTAATAAAATTGATTCCATTTTGAAATCCATTTCTTGATCCAAAAAATTTGTCAATCATGTGTTCTCCTTGAGACAAGATTTTTTATATTGATGTTCACCCATTTGTTCACCCTCATGGCTGAGTATCAAGGTCACCGTTACACCACTTGACATAATCACTAAATCCAAATTTTAGTTTAAAACCAGAAACATTGGCATCATCGTTTTTCAAAAACAAACATGAAGAATTTTTAGAGTTTGAATTGGAAAATATTTCAAATTTTGACTATCTATTTTGTCCTTTAAAGTCGTCATGTTCTGCATCACAATGGACAGATAAATATGATGGAAAGGAAATGTGTCTGTGAGGGTTTTTTGCATTCAACGCACGAACCAGCCTCACACATTAACCGAGGTGCAATTTGACGTCACGAACCGAGACAGCAGTCAGCACATTCATGTTGTAAAAAAAAAAAAAAGCAGAAAAACACCTTGTTCGCTTCTCTTGCTGTTTTTCCAGTTCATCAGGGACATCTTGCCAATGTGTGAAGAAACAGTGTGACTGAAAACTACACCCAGTCTCGGCACACCGTTCTTAGACAAAACGAGAGAGGAACGTCTTTAGCTTTGTGTGAGTGTGTTTTTTTGGATCTGTAGAATGGGATTTGTGACTGTCACCCTTCTGTCCCATTACGCAGCAAACAGGAAGTGACCCGTTTGCTTCATCATTACTCACAAACACACACACACACACAAACTGCCATTACTCACCTCTGAGGCCTCCATTACTAGCAGAGTTAAGTCTGATACAGCAGCACAGATTGTACCTTGTACTGTTTTTGTACACGTTCTGTCACCAAAAACCATTTGTGCTTCAAAATAATTTAGTTAGTCCATGTCTGTTAGCTTTGAGGCTATAACAAATGTGTGACTAAACTCCTCAAAGTTTATAGGTGAATCTCACAAATTCTATATTTTGCTTAAAGATTTTTTGTTGTTGTTGTTTTTTGTTGCATAATGACATTATTTAAAAACAAAACAAAAAAAACCTCTTTGTTATTACCATAATGCTGAAAAAATATGTTTGGGTTTGTAAGTCTATTAATCTCACCAAGTGATTTATTTTATTAACTGTAATATGTGAAATATTATTGGAATTTAAAAGAACTGTTTTCTATTTGAATATATTTTTAAAACTGTAATTTATTCCTGTGATCAAAGCTGAATTATCAGCATCATTACTGTAGTCTTCAGTGTCATGATTCTTCAGAAATCATTATAATATGCTGATTTGCTGCTCAAGAAACATTTCTGGTTTTTATTTTTGAATATGCTTTTTAGTTTTTTTAGTGATACATTTTTTTCAGGCTTCTCATCCGTCAGTCACGGCTAAATGGATTTTTCTGTGGAACACAAAAGGAGATATTGTGCAAAGTGTACAAAACAATAGTATTATTATAAATAGCCAAATAATAACAATAATATTATATATTTATTATACATATATAGCTTCCTTCTTTGTCATTAATCAGCAGTCTGGTCCTTCAAAGTATGTCTCTAGAGCACAAACACGCATGTGCGCTGTGAAGGGTCATGTATATGACTCACAAGACGTGTGCTTTACTGATATATGCATGTTATTTTAAGTTATCCTTGTTACGGTGTACTATAGATAAGGTGAAGGTTAGTTGCATGCAATCATGCATACTTTATTACTACAGTAAGTACATGTAACATGTGTGACAACGACATTGTAACATAAAGTGTTACATTTGTTCATTTTATTGTGGTGGAATGTAAACCTTTTTACATTTTCATGAGCTTATTATGACAAAACAAAAGATATGTGCATTTAAAACATGTAAAAACAGACCAAAGATATACATGATTGCAGCGTGTGTGTGTGTGTGTGTTCACTCTCTGCTCCTAATGTGTGTGCACTAACTGGATGGGTTAAATGCAGAGGACAACTTCTGAGTTACTATACATGTAAAAAAAAAAAAAAAGTTTCTGCCTCAAATTTTTTAAGTACAATCAACTTGGCTGTTTAATTATTTCACATTCAATTAGATTCAACTGACTTTAAAAGCTGAAACCTGCTCAACTTATTTTGTTGAGTTAAAGTAATATAAAATATATATATGTGTTCATAACTTATTGATCATATCCATTTTTACAGTGTATTCTGCCTTCACGTCACGTCATGTCACACACATCTGCCTCTACTTCACTGCGGGTGAGTCAGGGCTGGGGTGGCTTGGGTGGCTGGTCCAGGATCAGTGGTATTGATTCTTTCTTGTGGACCGAGAAAATTGCTGTCTACTTGATCTCAGATGAGCTCTTCAAAGAAGCCAGGACTTTTTTTTCTTTTTTTTTTTTGCAAGCACATGATATCTGTCAGTCACTGCAAGTAGGCCTATAGGCTAAATTGCTTTTAGCCTATAGAGATATTGTGCAAAATGTCTACAAAACAATACCAATATTATAAATATTATATACTATTATATTTAGCTTTCTTCTGGGTCATTTAGGCTATCAGAAGTCTTGTCCTTCAAAGTATGTCTCTAGAGCAGAAACACAAGGACCGCTGTGAAGGGTCAACGCCTGGAGATGACTCACAGGACGCGTGCATTACTAATTTATGCATGTAGATTCACGCGCCCCGCGCTGTTATATTGCTTACGTCTGAATATTAAACTCATATTCGCAGTGACTGAGTCATATCACACTAGAGCTCTGTAGGAAGTGAGACGTCACGCGAGGAGCTGTCAATCAATTCCAGTCTATTATTGCGGTGACATAAAGCACGCAACACAGAATCTCAAATGCATGTTTAAATATGCTATATGAATATCGTACAGCAGGTTCAAATCAACTGTGCTAAAAAGACCTTAAGCCGTAGAGGTGTTATTCAGTAATGGGTAAACAGACATTTAATCTAATTTAATAGAGCTGGGGCGCCATCTAATGGTGGGCATATGACACACTTTTGGCTCTTTTTAACCTTCATAGAGGCCTGTCCACCTTATTTTGCAACGCAGCTAAATCATTCTCCAATTAGATTGAACAGAGTGCAGTACTTAAACGGTAAAACTATCTGCGCTGTTGATACATTAAAGTAAAACGATAAGAAATACAAGTTTGCAATATCAAGCAGCATAACGGACTGTGTTGTACAGCTACAATAACAGGGAGCGAATGACACCGGAAGCCGCATCAAGTTCCCACAATCGGCCGCGCCGCTCTTTACAGGTGTGTACACCTGCAGGCTACAGGTAAATGGCCTATGATATAATTTGATACGATGTCTAGTGGAGCACACACGCTATGACATACAGGATCAATAGATACTCAATAGCTAGGGCCTATACAATTAATATCAAGCTACATAATTTCAAGCTATGTTGTTTTTTTATAGCGTAGTCCTGCTATGCACTATGTATGTGCACTTTGGATCAATTTGTATTGTGTTAATTGTGCTTTATAAATAAAGGTTGTTGTTGTAGGCTACATAAGACGAGATTAATGCTCTAGCCTACTTTTATTCATTAGGGCTACTCACAGTATGACACTGGCATAAAGTTGTTTTTTTTGTCGCTGGACATTCGATATTCGCAAATTTCAAACGCAAATATCGTCTCTAAAGGCCAATGTTATTGATGCGATTTACAGCTAGCACCTGCACTTTACTTCTCATGTGTCTATTATTATAAAATAATACGCCAAAGCGCATCCAAATCACAAACAATCATACTTCCGTTGTCGTATATTTAGTCGCTTCATGTTTATAAAAGTTGCTTTGGATTAGTTATTTACACAGACAGAAAGCGAAAGTAACTTGGTCATTGGGGGGTAATGAACACGTGATATGTTGAATAAGTGCAGGGAATGATCTGACATCTGAGTCATAACAGCGATCGCGGAAGAGAAGCACAGTGGAGCTAATGCTCATCAGCTCACGTAAATCAGTGGAAAAATAATAGAACTGATGATTCTGTCTAAAGAAATTTCTATATGAAACGTGTAAGTATAGTCTATATCAATATTTCTCTAAATATGCACACTTTTGGACTCAAAGCCCTAATGGATGCAGTTTAGTGAAGAACTTTTAAACCTCAGCAGACTTTGACTGAATATGAATTCTATTCAAAATGCCAAAACACGAATTAAGAAATTACTGTCACTGTAACAGAGTTTTCTCATAAAACAGTGTTCTAATATCGAAGCTTTCTACTGATACAGTTTCTCAAGTTCAAATAAGAGTGTGATGGTAATACAATATGGTTTCTGTCATTTTAGGTAGCCTAGCTCTTATCACGCTTATGTATGTTCAAGTGTTCGTTTTTCTAATAAGTTTGGTTTTAGTTGATGCTATAAAAATGAGGTGTGGCGTCATGATTGACAGCTGTGATTGACAGCTTCTCTGAGTGAAGTATAGTCACAGAGGCACCATAGACTTCTTTGGGAGCTTCGGGAGGAGACGAACTTTAGCTTTAGATTTTCCATAACTTGTACAATTAGCAGACATCAAAATTGGAGCAGCCAGGCTGCTTAAAAAAATTCTGGGGGGTGTGCTTGCGATTGAGTCTATGGGAGAATGGACGGATGGGACCTTGATACCGCGGCTCCATCACACGTTCACTACTAGGCAGACTCTGGCTCCAAATGACATCATTAGCGCAAGATGGGACTGGCCATCTGTCATTTGGGCTTCACTTTTCTACAGTGGAAGGAAGCGGAGACAGCCTGTGTCTTTTTTACAGCCTGTGGTAATAACGAGCAGTGAATGTTGACAATAATTGGGCAAATGGTGCACTCCTTGAGTCCTGCACTCTCAGCGGGTTATGATTGGTTTAAAGGGTTAGTTCACCCAAAAACGAAAATTATGTCATTAATGACTCACCCTCATGTCTTTCCAAGCCCGTAAGACCTCCGTTCATCTTCGGAACACAGTTTAAGATATTTTAGATTTAGTCAGAGAGCTTTCTGTCCCTCCATTGAAAATGTATGTACGGTATACTGTCCTTGTCCAGAAAGGGAATAAAGACATCATCAAAGTAGTCCATGTGACATCAGTGGGTTAGTTAGAGTGTTTTGAAGCATCGAAAATACATTTTGGTCCAAAAATAACAAAAACTACGACTTTATTCAGCATTGTATTGTCTTCCGGTTCTGTTGTGGATCCGCGTTCAGAGCCGCTGCTGACGTAAGACGCTGCTGACGTGTGTCTGGTGTGTGTGTGTGTGTGTGTGTGTGACGTAAGACGCTGCTGACGTGTGTCTGGTGCGCCCGAGCTTCGTTTACAGTCTGAGGGAGACGCACGCTGGAAACAAAACAATCTTCGCAAACATGTCTACGGATTTCCACACAGAGGAAGACTTGCATTTTTTTGCCCAGCCATATTTATTTGAACCCGAATACACGGACGCACCGGACACACGTCAGCAGCGGCACTGAACGCGGATCCACAACAGAACCAGAATACACACACACACACACACACACACCAGACACACGTCAGCAGCGTCTTACGTCAGCAGCGGCACTGAACGCGGATCCACAACAGAACCGAAGACAATACAATGCTGAATAAAGGCGTAGTTTTTGTTATTTTTGGACCAAAATGTATTTTCGATGCTTCAAAACACTCTAACTAACCCACTGATGCCACATGGACTACTTTAGATGATGTCTTTATTCCCTTTCTGGACAAGGACAGTATACCGTACATACATTTTCAATGGAGGGACAGAAAGCTCTCAGACTAAATCTAAAATATCTTAAACTGTCCCGAAGATGAACGGAGGTCTTACGGGCTTGGGACGACATGAGGGTGAGTCATTAATGACATAATTTTCATTTTTGGGTGAACTAACCCTTTAATGATAACCTGACATCTTATTGGCTGAAGAGTACCCACATGAAGATTGAGAGCTGCCAGGAAAGTCTCAAAATACACACAAATCCAAGCCAATGCACACACGGATGACGATTTGCAAATTGAGATTCAATAATAAACTTGTTTTTACTGAAAGTCACACTGCTCGCCAAAAGCTCTGCTTGATTCTAACGCAATGTTTTGTAAAGCGTCAATAACCAAAGGGTGCTTAGATAAGGGTCAATTATGTATAATCAAACTCTGATATCAGTCCAGTTTTTTAAGTCTCCATAGTTTTTAATCATGTTATAGAGCATAATTATTATTTAATAAAAGAAGAATCAACAGATACAATTCTTTGAAATTTATTTTAGCCCATCTAAGAATAATATCCAATACATTTTTACCACTTTATGAACACATTTTACTGAAAGTCACATTGCTTACTGAAAATTCTTAAGCAATGTGTTGTCAAGCATTAGTAAGAAAGGGTGTGGTGCTTACATAAATCTCAATTACGTAATAATATACTGTTACTATTTCAGATTGTCCATCTGTAAGTTCACTGATCAGTGTTGTGAAAGTGTGGCTTCAGCTCTACAGTCGTCAAACTCCTGCCTTAAAGAACTGGATCTAAGTAACAATAACTTGAAAGATTCAGGAGTGAAGCTGCTCCACTGAAGAGTCCAAAGTGCCAACTGGAGAAGCTGAGGTAATTAAAAAATATATATATAGTAAAATTTTAAAACTATACATTGATGTAAAAGATGGAAACCTTGTATGTCCAAATCCTCTACTTTTCAGAAAAAATTCAAACTCTGTAGTTTTAAAATATTTAGTTGGTATTGTAGCTTTACATATGGTCAGACATGTGCCATTATATTATTACCATTTTACCAAAATCAAGCTCAAATGGAGTTACAAGGTTTTTGGCCAGCTAATGTAGAAGATATGCATTTAGTCTGTCATTAGACCAGCCACATCTGAGGCAGTAAGTACATTGCATTAGTTTTCATCAACGTACAGGTTATTGTAGCTATGTGGGGGCTCCGTTTTTTCTGTAGTTGAATACATTTGGCCGAAATGCTAATTAAGATACTATTGGCTATGACTAGATGGTAGACTAAAGTGGTAGAATAAAGACTCTTCTCCACTCCTCAAGTACATAAAACACCAGCCTTTATAGACATAGTGTTTCTGGAGTAAGGAAAACGCTGTAGGCTACTTATTCAAACAACCATTTCTTTATTGACTATTGCATCGCAAACAAGCATATACCGTCTCCAAACTGTGTGCGGTAGTTCATTCAAGATGGACTGACAGTTTGAAGACCTAATGGAGTTACGAGTTTCAGTCACAAGGCTTTTTAATACTTTTCAGTGGTTAAATAGTTGTAAAATCAACAGACAGACATAAAGTGACCAATAGCATTGATTTATGAAAAATGTTTCGAAATATGGAGATACATGGTTTCTGGGCGACAATAACGATATTAAAGTTTACCCATCACTGACAATGTTTTTGTCAGTTTTTTTATTAGGATCCATATAAAAGTGTAAACAACTGATTTCCATCTGAATAAAATTTTAATGTGCATGTTTATTCAGATTTACGTGGCTACAAGTGTGAAAGTTGTGGATTACACGTTTAATATAGGGTTATTAGGATCCATATAAAATATAGCTGTAAGCAGCAATCAGGGGGGCCAAGCGCATCAGAAGCAATGTGACGAGCTAAGCAAGCATGGCAGGGAGCATCAGAACATAGTAATGATTTGACAAATTAAGTTTTAATGCAATAGTCAGTAGCTTTGCCAAAAGATTTGCCTATGCTTTCCTCAAGCATTGCAGTGATATAGCTTTACATCCATTTTGGTGTGCTCTTCATCTGATTTGTTGATGCCATTTTTCTTCAAAACCTTACAGTTCAAAAGTTATTGGCAGAAGCATAAGTGCAAATTTGGACAGTTGGTGGTGTTTATGGGTTTGATTTAAAGACTCCCAATTTGCTGTGGTTATTGTTCAGACTGTCCTCTATCTGTTTGCCAAATTTAATACCTTTCCCACAATAACTTTATGGGCTGCTAAAGAGCAACAGCAGCAGCAGAAGAAAACATCTTACGGATACAATAGGTGCCTGGCCCTTAATAAACTACAAAAAAATAGTTTAGTAAAGGATGGACAGAAAATATGATTTATTATATTTAATTTACTGTATTTTGTTCGTTGGGTTGTGTTTTTAAGACTTTTATTTCCTTTTCTTCAACATTTCTGGTGAGTCAGATGAATGTAACATGGCACATTATGCTTTTTTTTTCTTTGACAGTCTGGATCATGTCTTTGATTATGGATTATATCGGAGAGACCATGAGTAAAGCAGAACTACAAAACTGTAGGTCTACACACACATACTTTTTCTTCACAGTACACCATTTTACATCAGACCAAGGGTCATTATTTACACAATAAGGTCTCAAATATAAAATGTTTTTTCTGTGTACATGCGGTCAAAATATATATGTGGAACTGAAAAGTAGATCCGAGGCCAATCTGATTCTTGAACATATTATGGGGTCTTATTAATGTTGTTTTCTTGTGTCCAGATTTCTGTCATCTCACACTGGATCCAAACACGGTACACAATCGTCTCTCCGTTGTAGAGGGCAACAAAAAGTTGGTATGTAATCCAGAACCGATGTCACATCCTGATCATCCAGAGAGATTTGACGGCCTTCCGCAGGTTCTGTGTAAAGAGCGTCTGACTGGACGCTGTTACTGGGAGGCTGAATGGAGTGGTTTGGGTGATATGGTAGTGTCATATAAAGGAATCAGCAGGAAAGGAGAAAGTCCTGACTGTAGGTTCGGAGCCAATGACAAATCCTGGATTCTGAGCTGCTTTGGGGAGAAACTGATCGCCTGGCATGATAATATGGGAACACACATACCTCCTCCATCACCTCCCTTAAACAGAGTAGGAGTGTATGTGGACGAGCCGGCCGGCATTCTGTCCTTCTACAGCATCTCTGACACACACGCACTCAGACACTTACACACATTCAACACCACATTCACTGAACCCCTCTATGCAGGATTTGTGCTTTATACTAATTCAGTGTCTCTGTGTGATGTTGAACCAGAGGTTGACCGATAGTGGATTTACCGATAACTAGGTTGGACCTCACTGGCCTATAACCGATTAATCAACCGATAGTTTTTAAAATGGATTCTGACTGAAAACAAGACATAAAATTGTGCTGAACTTTATTACAAAAATTGAAAAATAGTACTGAACAATGAAGCTGTACTGTACTTTTTAAATAGACAAATATTAATATATGAATTATACCTTGATCATTCATGTTAGTTCATAGTGCATTAACTAATGTTAAGAGGAACAACTTTAAAATGTAAAAATTTGTTAGTAGTCGACATTGTAAAGTGTCACCATTTCATATAAATCCAAACAGTCATGCTAAAAGATGGCCATCTTTAAATATCTATACAAAGGCCATAGCATTAAAATTAGACACATTTTAAATCTGAAGCCGTAAGTGTAAAAACAAACAGCACACGGTCGTCATTGATGGTTTTTATTTGGCCTCTAGAGGCCGCTCTCGTACTGTATAATGACAGCGGTCCAGCAACGGACCGGTATCGGTATGGCTTTTTGTCCATAACCAGTTGTTCCTGCAATCGGTTATCTGTGCCGATTGATCGGTTTTATCTGTTGACCTTTAATATCCAGTGGCCCCAAACGTATGTGGACTCTTGAGACACAATTAAAAATGTATACATATAGCAAAATGATTAAACAAGTGTCCTTTATTTTAAATAAATATAGCACAGGTACACGTGTGTTTTTTTAAGTTTCTAGATATTAAAAAAAGTATTGATTGAGGTTCTGCTAGGACGCAGCATGAAAGTGGACAAGCTCAAAACATTTTAGAGCCTGTTTACACCTTAGCGTCAGTCACTTGTGATCCGATCGACCAAAACGCATCTAATTCTTCCCAATTCCCACTTCTGAATTTTTGATTAAGCATTCAAGTGCTTTGTTGTCGGAAAGAACAGGAATCATGAAGGACACCAGTTTAATTCTTGCCAGTTTACTGGGAAAATCGTATTAAAGCCAAAATGATATTTAGCCTACTATTCATTGACAATCCAACACAACATGGGAACTTGGGTATCAAAATTATTCCAAGCTTCCCAGTAGTAAATATGACTTGAGAGGGCGTTCATGTCCAGTTTTTAAGTAGGAAACACATATTTTCGAGTCTTATTCTGATAGCAGGTGAAGGCAGCATTAGGTGTAAACGGGGCCCTAGAGACCATTGTTTAAAATCGTTGGAAAACGTGTCTCTGAAAAGTAAAGTTACTGCTAAGAAGAGCTCTAGCATCTATTGTTTGCTAATTGCACTTTTCTTATTTTGTATCTAATAATTCAGACATTTTTAAGTGCGACTTAAGTATCCAAAAACCTTCTGGGACCACTGTATGCTAATACTGGTATTTTTTTTTTTTTGTTCGATGACAACTTAATCGCATGAACACAACCTGCTCACAGATATGTAATGCTGGCGTCTCATATGATTTTCAGCCGATTTTCAGTAGTTGGCTTCATATACAGTCGCTGTAGGGCTGGTGTAACCAGAGTTGTGCCAAATGAAAAGGGTCTTTTTACTCTTAAAGGTGAAGGATTCAAGGATTCTTCACAACCATACATTTGTGTTGTTTTATTTTCTTTCTTTTTTATGTTCATTAATTCATTTATCTAATCATTTTATCATTCAATTTAATCGTAATCATTTATAATAATCATTTAAACCATTTATACTCATTTCATTGATTCATTCATTGATCTGTCATTTTATTATTTTTACATTCTTGTTGGAACTGTACATTTGTACAATTGTACAATTTTTTAGTTTTAAGGGATATATTTGTCTTCATGAGTAAGAGAAAAGAGAATGTCTCCATTTCAAGGGTTTAACATCATGGGATGATGTTGTGAAGCAGTAATTTACACCATTGCTTAGTTGTGGTATAATAACACTTGTTGTATTTGTGCTGCTTTCAGATGAAGTCTTAGCATTGAAACACACGCAACTAAGATTATTCAATAAACTCTGCTAATTTTACCATCACTTTGTCTCCTGCTTTCTGCTCTTCTCTGCTTCCTCTATTTTGCCTTTTGGGCTGATAGAAGACTGTTAATACAGTTTGGGTGGCGCTCTGACATGGTATATTAAGGGCACCTGAGTAACTAGACAACAGGTTATAATAGAGAGTGAGAGGAAGGAAGACTACTGAAAGCTTGGAAAGAAGCTATAATAATTCCTATAAGAATGTAGGAATGCTCGAGTGCTCGCAGCACCTGGGAAGCCCCGTGGTGCTTTTCAAATGTTGCGCTAATCACTCCGCCCAAGTAGCAGTGCTTCGCCTTCTGAGAATATAGTTCCCAGTATGTACACGGTTAAAAGCTGTGTCCATATGACCTTGTTATTTGTACACACAGTGACTATACAAATCACAACATAAATAGGAAAATGTTGGCGTTATTTCGTCACTTTTTGGGAGCAGTATGCTAGCTGTAGCCATTTACATCCAGTCTTTGTGCTAAGCTAGGCTAGCGGTGGGTGCGTCAGACAGAGTTACAGCACGCACGGAGATGAAAAGGGTATGTATGGACTTAGCTAACTCTGGGGGATACGGTGAATAAGCTAGAGTCCCCAAAAGTCGGCGTGTTCCTTTAAGAATGATGCATTGATGAAGCAACATGGAGTGAGTGCGCAGCGCTTCACATTGAAAAGTTCAAAGCAAAAAGGGAAGATATATTGATGCGTAGTATATTATATCAATGCAATAGTTTATTGAGCCTTTTCTTTTAACAGTCTACAAGACACCCAGGAGAAAGTTGAACAGCAATAAACTCCAGTAAGATAGAGTAATTTTATGCAAAACCAGACCTTTATCTACAAATAAAGTATAATAATAGGAAAACGGAATAATCTTGGAGAGTTTTGTCTTGTTGACTGTCGTAACCGAACGCGACGCGCTGTTTGAGTGGTGAATGGAGAATGACTGACAGCCGCAGCAGAGGGAAGAACTTAGGCCTTCTTGAACTTAACAGCTTCAATATATTCATCTCTACGTCACATTAAACTATGGAATGGCTTTAGAAGAGTTAATTAAATAAATAGTGCACGAAAAGTTGATGGTGCTTTAATGTTTTTGTGCCTTTTATGAGGCTTAAAGGACAAGTTCGGTATTTTACACTTAAAGCCCTGTTTCAAGATTGTTTCTGATGAAATAGAACGGTTAAGATTAAAATGTGGACACATGCTGCTGTCCCGAGAAATTTCGGTTTCTGTGGTTGCACCTCCCCCACCTCTACAATGGTTGCATAGGTGCACAGAAACAATCCTTCCTAAAACGCATTAAACTTTAGTTTACAAAGACGTGAAACTCACCGAGTGGTCTGGGGTGTTCACTGATATGCTCACACAAAAATCGCTGCAAAAGATGTTTTACAACAGGTTTTATCGTAGTTTTTGTCCAGGTCAAGTCAAATGGAGTTGTTCAAAAACTACGATAAAACCTGTTGTAATACCGAACTTGTCCTTTAACAATAACACAGAATATTATACGCACAGCCACAATATCGGATTTGGATCGGTCCCGTCTGACCGATACCTGATCCGGCAAAGAATGGCGTTTTTCGGAGCCTACTTCCAATGGACTGTGAGCATAAGCTGCACGTGGACACCACTTTCAAGACGGAGGCTTCGTTGAACGGGAGTTCTTCCGCACAATAATTTGCAAAGCGGACATCGGATTTCTGGAAATGTGATCGCAAATTGTGGATTGCTCATTCTGCAGCTGCAGCCTGCAGATCAGGGCAGGGCTACACACTTACTCTGATTGGCTCATTCGTCTTCAATAGGCATTACATAATAGAAAATGTGTTCGTAGTTGGTGTAGACAGATTATGGAATGTATGTCATCAATCAAGTTACAAACCTGTAAAAGAGAGGTCTAATGCCACAGGAATAAGATATAGAGCTTAAATAGTTCAAGCTCAGTCTAGACAGCCCTTGTGCGGTCTTCGTATAGGGACACACTAATCATCTTGGCGTCTCCAGAGACCCCAGGAAACATAATGTAATTTTGTAACAAAATATTAGTTTTTATTAAAAAAAAAGAAGTAATTTTACTCTGTTTATTAATATTTTTGCTCCACATTTGTGCAGTTTTGGGAGGATTTATGATATATTTTAAATTTATATAAATAAATTTAAAAAAGTTTTTTTTTAAATAGTTTTTTATACAAAAACAGCTTTTTATGTAAAATTCACTTTATAAAAGACCCAAATTTCTAAATTTAAATCTATGGGGATAACATGGATAATTTGACATGGTTTAGTGTAAAATTCTTGCCCATCTTTTGGAAAATTTTAGCAGTTTTAGCAAAACATTTTTAGAAAAAAATATAATTTTAGCTATAGAGCTCCACTATATGCTTTTTACTGTTTGACTAACTGAAAGATATCTTTTCACAAGTTTTTCCAGATGGATTAATATCTAAATAATATGAAATCACAATTGTAACAGTAAATAAAAAATACTTTGTCAAAGTTTAGCATTTTTTGTATTGAACGCCGTTCAACACGCCGTTAAATGTCCGAGCGAAACGAAGCAAAATGTAGATCTACATCTGGGGAGCGAGAGATTTTTTTTCTAGGATGGTAGGGGAAGACTCATAAATGGTATTAACCCCAGTGACGGGTAGGTTTAGGGACGGGGTTGGGGTAGGTCATATATTTATATATACAGTAATGTAACGTTAAGTCAACGGCGTTGATAAACACGCTGAAAAGCGATTATGCGTGTTGATAGCACGCTAAAAATGGAAATACGAATTGGCGTGTGATACATACGCCATTTCATGAGATCAGTCTGGGCCATCAATGTTTCATTAAGTGCAGTCCATTACCAGTGTCTGCCATGCATGGTCTGCACCTTGTTCAATGCAAATGTTTTGGATTGTTCCATTAAAGCTCATTATAATCTTTGAGACCGGTATTATGGCAGCTGCAACACTTCCTACGGTTATCTTGTAGGCCGTTGTTTTGACAGAACTCGTCCAGCAGGAGCAAGTTGTGGGCCATATTGCTCCAAGATCCTCCAATCAGCACCATGTCATCAGCGAAAGCCAGAGTCGTTACTGGACCTTATTTGTGACTATATTCACCTTTATGCTATCAGCAGTTACTACATTGAATTGTGTCTTTATTTTTTTTATTTTTTTTTTCATATTACAAGATTGCTTTTAAAGTTTAATCATCTCTGGTAAGTTAATTTCATTCATTCTGTTAGGCAATATGAATCAAATTAACATTTGAATAGCGTTTCCTCCAAAGGCTTCTTCCTCATCCTTCCTCATTTACAAGGGTTTTCTTTATCATTGCCACCTTTGGCTTGCATTGGAGTTTGAAAGCATCCTTATTTGGAACAAAATGTGAAAATGGTATGGTGTGTGTTACACTATTTCAGTGCATGGCATAG